GATAGTAAAAGAAACCAATTACTGTTGGATACTTCAACTCTCTACATTCATGTGGCAATTATAACTGTGGGATGAGGATGTGTTGTGCATGTCAAACCCAATTTGTCAACTACTATAGGACTAACCGCATTAGTTCTATTACTTTCGCCAATCGGTAGTTTACACAATTTCCCATTCACAAACAACGAGTATGGAAGATGTCTTTCCTTTTTCCCTTTGATTGGATTTTCTTTCCTTAAATCATCACATGAATGGGCCTCCTCCACTTAGATTCAGCTTTTGGTACTTGATGAATTAGGAGTTTATTGCTTCGCTTATTGCTGAGATCTTTTATCTTTTTTTTGAGAGAAAAGTATGAAGTGTATTGATGTAGCCGTCAAGGGGATGCGCCCATGTACAAAATGTGAAGTATACAGATTAGTAATAATATCTACAATGGCACCAAAATCATCCAAACTATCAAAGTTGTGCCCTAAAATAATAGAACTAAAGAGGTGTAACCATTTATCTTTGATGTTGACAAAATTCATTTCAATACCCTCAAAAACTCTATTGTTTCTTTCTTTCCATACAACCCAGAAAATTGTTAACGGTATTAGACTGTAATGTTTGTTTAATGCAGCAATACTCTCCCGAGCAAGAACCTTGGCCTTCACAGAACCAGCAATAACCACCCATTGAATCCCCATGAGGTTGTAGATATCGTTTCAGAGTCCATAGGTAATAGGACACTACACTAATAGGTGTCTACATGTTTCTGAACTAACTTTGCATATTGTACATCTGTTGGCCAAGTGGAAACCTCTCTTCATTAGATTGTCTAAAGTCAAAATGCATTCTTTGTTTCCCAAGCGAAGAAAAAAATTCTGTGTGGTGCTGGGGTCTTCCAAATCATTTTATAGGGGAATAAAGTTTGATTTCCCGCAGAGAAATCCTCCAGATGCTTATACAAAGAAGTGACAGAAAAAATACCTTTTTTGTTGAGTTTCCAGTTGAGTCTATCATCTCTGTTGCTCAAATGAATGGTCCTAAGAATCTGATTTAATTCCATGTATTTCTCTAATTCCCAGTTTTGTAAATTACGATTAACCACCACATACCCGGTAAAGGATAGATTCCCTTCAAATTGGCTCTCAACCAGTAGATATTTATCTCTTGCAATAGCATAGATGCTGGGAAAACGGGTTTGGAATTTGGTATTTCTAAACCATACATCTTGCCAGAACCAGATTTTGTTTCCTCTGCCAATGACCCAAGTAGAGCAGTTCTCAATGATGTGGCTGTATGTTTTTTTTTTTTGAAAGCAAAAGTTAATGATGTGGCTGTATTGCATGAAGTTTTTCCATAGACTCATTTCAAAAGGGCTGTTTTCTAATTTAGTCATGTCATGTAAGCCGTTACTGCACCACTTACACTCAATAATGTTTTTCCAAAGGCTGTCTTTGTCGTTCCAGAATTTCCAGGCGAACCCATTCGCCGTGAAAAGCTTTCTTAAGAGCTAGGAGAGATCTGAGGCCTAGTCCACCCATCTTTTTAGGCTGTTTAATTTCATCCCAATTTACCAGATGATATTTATGACTATTATCAGTATCACCCCAAAGAAAACGCTTTTCAATAGCTTCTAGTTCTTTTACGTCATTGACCGGAATTTTGAGCATTGTGGGATAGTAGATGGGAAGATTGGAGAGAGTGCTTTTGAAATGAAAAAGGCCACCTTTGCCAGTTGGGTCCAATTTGGCCATGGAAAAATGTCAATGGATTTGGGTTCCCAACAGTTGGCTGGTTTTTAATTCCTGGGTTCCCAAGGGGGAAAACCCCAAGTTTTTTAATAAGGCAAGGTTAGAAACCTTGGCATCCAAACAACCGAAGGGCAAACAATGGGCACATAGAA